CCACATGAAATATAGCCAGGAGAATTTTTTCTCAGCACCTCACATTGCTGATTTGTATCCACAGTTTCATTCAAAATCAAAAGCCTCGGGCTACGTTTACACTGGCGTGATCTTGCGCAAATACTCTAGTGCAAGAGTTCTTGTGTTAAAGTAGTTGCGCAAGAGAGCGCCTACATTGGCATGTGCTTTTTGCACAAGAGCATCCTTGCCAGTGTAGATGCTCTCTTGCGCAAGAAAGGTCTGATGGCCATTTTAACCATAGGGCTTTCTTGCGCAAGAAATTCACGTTGCCTTTCTACACTGGCCTCTTGCGCAAGAACAGTTGTGCAAAAGGGCTTATTCCTGAGCGGGAGCGTCACAGTTCTGGCGCAAGAAGCCCTGATTTCATACATTAGAACGTCAGTTTACTTGCGCAAGAACACGCGGCCAGTGTAGACAGGCAGCAAGTTTTTGTGCAAGAACAGCCGCTTTTGTGCAAGATCACGCCAGTGTAGATACAGCCTACGTGTATAACATTTTCCACTTGGAAAGCTGCAATTATATGAATTATGGTTTATTAAGGTCTCAGTGTTGCCCTCGTGGTCGGTAATATTTTCCTGAGAATAAGTGCAATGAAAATTAGGCAAAACACAGGAGTCCAGGCTGTATTTCAGTTGCAGGTGCTTGGTCATTTGAATCCAAAATAACTGGTGAAATTCAACAGCTGTAAATACTGTTCTGTTCAAAAGAGTATTGATGTAATCTAGTATCATGACTGTGTCATATCCACAGGTACTGCTGTCCAAGGATAAAATGGCTATGGGCCCCAAATGCAAACGGGGATGAAAAATGCTGTTTTCACTCTTGAGCTGTGGGTATATCAGCCAACTCATCTCCACCTATTTTGGTTCCGCTAAATACTACAATTTCCACTATAAGCTACTATCACCGCCTGTGAAGTATATAAGAAAACTATAGGTGAAGTTGCAAACTCCATGGACACAGCAGAGTCTGAGAGACTCAGGCTATGTCTACACTCACGGCTTCTTGCGAAAGTATGGCGGTTCTTGCACAAGAATCTGCAGAGCATCCACACTGCCCGCCCACTCTTGAACAAGGAAATTTACAGTACGGCATAGTAAGAGAGGGCTTCTTGTGCAAGAGCTATGCTCTTTTTTAACAGGTGTAAGCCCTCTTGCGCAGGAGCTTTTGCGCAAGAGGGCAGTGCGGAGGCATGCCAGGGATTTCTTGCGCAAGAAAGCCCTATGGCTAAAATGGCCATCAGAGCTTTCTTGCGCAAGAGAGCGTCCACACTGCCATAGGCACTCTTGCGCAAAAGCACAGCTCGCACATGGCAGTGTGAATGTTCTCTTGCGCAAGATGTTCTTGCACAAGAAGCCGTGAGTGTAGACATAGCCATAGGGTCTATAGCACAAATTACTTCTATATATCTTACCTTGCCCACAGTTTATGAAAAAGACACCTCCCTTGTGTCACGTACGTTATAATCAACCTGAGGGACAGTGCAGATAATACTATATCAACAGGATAGCTTCTCCTGCCAGCATAGCTATGGATCTCTCACAGGGGCACAAGTTATTAGGAAGATATATGAGCTCTCTCTTGTTGGCTTAGAGCAGGGTTTCCCATCCTATGGGTCGGGACCCAAATATGGGTTGCCTTTACATTTCAAGAGGGTCACCAAATGTCTCCCCAAGTGGCTCTGCCCTCCCTCCTCCCCCTGTTTTTGAATTGCCTTGGGTCACCAAGTCTTCCTGAATTGTCAAAATGGGTCCCCGTCTGCAAAAGGTTGGGAACCACCGGCTTAGAGCATCTTCACCAGAAGCACTACAGCAATGCTGGTATAAATGATGTAGACATAGCCTGGGTGTGATGCATGGGAATTTCAAGTCTCTGGATTCATGAGAATAAACAAATTTAACAAGAAATGTAACCCTTAACACAATATCGAAACAGCAGTGTATTCACATAAAAATATAAACATATGTTGCTGACATTTTGGGAGAAGAAAGGGAACAATTCACTCTTCACACATACAATTCTCTTTACAGATATTATTGTTGACAGTGAAATATTTTTCTATTTTGGACTTGTGAACTCATCTACCGTTATGACTGTTTAGAAAGGAAACCAATAACTACTAACCAAGCAAGAGCTTTTTTAAAAAAAAAAAGTCAGAATTTTTATTATAAATTTGTTTCAATGTTTGCAATACTGGCTTGGTTAATGATTGTTACAGAAAAAAAAAATCAACAGCTTTTTCCCTTTTATTACACAAAGTAATACTGTAAGTGAAGAAACACTAACCAGAATCTTACCTGTAAAATAAAATTCATGTGAGACTATGCATAACAGCAAATAATTTAAAAAAATCTCAAGAGCTTTTATATGGTTGACTGACCCTTTGAACTGGAGTGTGTACTCATGACCTGGAAGTTTTACTGAAGTAAAAATTCCTTGTTATTGGCAGATTTGTAGTAAGCTGAGTTTCATGATTTAAAAATGTGTAACTAAATCTAGCAATCTGAGTCCCATGGCTACAGACCAAAGAGCTCTGACATTAAGCAATAAAATGGGGGGGTTGGGGGGGGGGGACGAGAAGAGAGAGATCAGTTGGCGCAGAATCATGCAAAAAAAGTACAAAGCCATAAGAAGTACAGATGAGATGAAAATCCACAGGTTTTGTGCTTAAAAAGTTTCCTACCTTGTTTCTGCTAGAATGGCCACACAAGCCTACATAGATGGTATATAAACATTGTTCACAAATTTGCAGAAACCTTAGTCTCACACATTAAAACACCCAACAGACAGCAAAACCTGAGTTAGATGGGATCTTTGAAACTGAGTTTGTTTTGCAGAAGAACTAAACTGAGGTTAACAATAAGCTGGGCTTTTTGTTTTAAATGCCGTGTGTGCTAGAGACACAGCTCTGAAAACACACATTTGCACACACAGATTGTTTTCCTGTTTGAGTTTTTAGATATTTCTCAAGCAAAAGCCATTCTTTGTTGCACTGGGTTGATTTTTGACAGTTATTTTTGTATTGCATCTTTAGCAAGCAGTGAACGATGTGTGAAAACAAAAACTGCACATACAGATCTTTAAGTCTCGCATATGAGAAACCTTTAAGGATTTCAAGTTTTTTTTACTCATTTTTGAGCAGCAATTACTGATACAAAAGTAAGAATCCCAGGCACTCTACAGCTGCAGTTGAACAACAGGTTAAAATGTATCACCATGTGTAATGAAATCTATTCCTCCAGGCAATGTTGCCTAGTGGGTAGAGCACTGGGCTTAACTCCTGGCTGTGTTACTAGTTTACTGTGCCATCATGGGCAAGTCACTTCCCTTCTGTGCATCAGCATCTCATCTTTAAGATGGGAATATTAATGCTGACCTCCCAAGTAAAGCACTTTGAGATCTATGGGCAAAGAATGCTAGGCATTATGATAATCAGAGAATGCTGTCAAGATCAATCCTTTTGAAAACAAGATCTTTTACTTTTCCTATTTAATCTTTAGACTTCTAAAAGCCAAAATAGGATTTTTAAAAGCATATTTACTTATTTTAGGTGGTTTACTTTTTGTATTATACTTTTTTGGGTCAGTTCTGCTTCTTTGCTGCTTACTTCCTCTTTCCAGTTCTCACATACTTTCTGCACAGTTTGGGTTCTCTGTGAATCTGATTGCACAGTGATGGAATATTTAAATGCATTTAACAGAACAAAATCTTTGAATTGTGCATCCTAGCCTTACATGAATTTTATCCGTTAACAAAATTCTGGATCTCTATTCCTTATCATTCATCATTTATATAGAAGTTTTCAAATCCGAAGTACATTACAAGCATTCATTAATCTTCAGTTATTTGTGTTCTATACAACGAAGAAGGGTGAACTGGTTTACTTAAGGCCACAGAAGAGATCATTCCTATAGAAAACAAAGGATCCCCTATGTTCCTGGCTCACAGATGTGTTCAGAGCACTCTCATTTGATATTAGCCTTTTAATATCCTTCCCCCAAACAGCCTCCTTATTGAATCTGCCCCAGAAAAATGCCACCCCGGTTTCAAAGGATTCATTTTGCTCTTATTTGATGTTAGGATTAAATACAGAACCACCTCAATTCATCACATTCCATGTAACCATGGCTTTACTGGGCCGAGAGTTATATTAACTCCCTTATTAGCAATGCCAAACATGCACTTTTAGGAAATCATCAGAATTTTTTAGGCCCAAAAGTCAGTCATTCAGCAGCTCTGATCATATGTAGAACACATAAGGAGTCTAACAAACATCAAAAGGGCAAAGAGAGGTTTTCCCCACTACTTCCTTCTGGCCAGTTAAGTCCCTTTCTTTGGATCACTAAAAGCAGCAGGTGGGCTTTCAGTAAACCATACCACAACCATCACTTAAGGTTTTACTCACCATGGCAGAATGGTTGCAAGGAAGTAATTCATCAGCATGTTTAAAGCTATTTGAAATCTCAGAATGGAAGGTGCTATAAAAGCAAGGAGTACTGTTGTTGTTTTACAACACAAGAGGGGTTACAACCTTTTTCTCATTCACCACTGGATGCCCTAATAAAGTGGCATCTGAAGAGTTATATGCACTGGGTAGAGGGACAAAAAGGATACCCAACAAAAGGCAATTAGACAATTCTTGCAACCAAGCAGAAGACAGGGACAATAAAGTAAGCACGGCAGTCAATGTACACACATGAAAGCTGTGGTTTTGAATCTCCCAAATTCACACCAATCTATTTTGCAAATCAGGCAATGCCACACCTGTTGCAAATAAGCACTTTGGCTACCAGAAAGTGTCCTCTTTTAACCCAAAGATGATTGCCACAGCCAACAAAAAAAATCCAGAACACTTCTACCACAGATGAATTAGTCACACACAGATTCAGAGTGCGAAATAACGAGGAATTACTGTAATGCCATGTCAGAACCAGGCGGTGCAAGCAAAATGCCAGATTTTCACAAAAGTCATAGTAACTGTTGCTTTTGGAACAATCCCTCTGATTATCTGGGAAGAGGGGGGGAGAAGGAAGTGCTATATATTGAAATATTACCTTTCACCCTCAAATCCAGTCCCATGTTACCGAAGTAAGGGGAGTGCTCTTACTAATCAGAGGTGTTAACTCAAACTGTGCAGTTGTATAAAACGACAGGAGCAGCAGAGAGCTTTAGGTTGCATCTGTGTTGGAATAAAGAGGAATTCTCCCCAAAACACGGATATCAATGCTTTACTGAGACTGTGCACGGAACAGGAGAGAATTCTTTACCATTGAATAGAGCCAGTATTGGTGAACAAGACATTCCCTTTTGCTGTGATGCAGACGGAGAAGTGTGCGTCGCTAACAGCATCCCCAGCCAGGTGGGGAGGCATCTTTTATGTTAATATAATCCCCACGGCCAGAACCCGGGAGGTCTCCATCACCCGTGAACGACGACATCATCTTTTCAATAAGGACTCTAGGAAACAACATACATGATGTAACAAGCAGCAAGAGGCCTACAGTCTGACACACAACTGGGTATAGCCACCAGCCCCCCAATCAGGACAAAGCTGGCTGCTGTGGCCTTAAAGGGACAATACTAGGGAATACAAATTAGAGATCTCCATTCAACTCCCTGTGGGCAAATGTCCCCAGTACAAACAGCACCATCAGGGACGTGTGTTGGCTCATATGCCAACAGCATCAGTAGAGAGGTCAGTGACTGAAGGCATCGCAGACACTGGAGTGGCCCCCAAACCTCTGGAGGCAAGCCCCCACTGTTCTGGATTTAGGCACAACAGGAGGCTTGGATGGGGAAGTCGGCCCACTCCCATTCTCCAGTAGAGACCAGCAGGTGAAAAATACCCATTGTATTGTGATAAGCCCTCTATTTCCAAATGCATGTCGCAGCTTAGACATGGTCAGGAGAACCTCTGACCATTCTAGCAGAATGTCCCCTTTAGATTGGCTGACATATTACAGCAGCTATATGGTAAATGCCAGCAGTGATTCTCAGATCTCAGTGGTTCCCAAGAGAGTCACAGTAGTGTGAATTCATTGTTTCATTTCCTTTTTATGCATATATAATTCTCAAAGCAAAATGACTGACCAAGCATTCATAATATAATGCTATGTTATAATTATACTATGTAATAATTCATGGTAATAATAATTTATTGTAATAATTCAATAATTATACTATGTTATAATTCATAACCTAGTAATAGCATCCTGATGGATTAATAACTTTGATTGGTTATTGGTTGCACTGTGTTTTAATATCACATGCTGCAAGGAACTGCATTAAAGAGTCATTTGTGGCTTCTGAGCCTCAGTCTGAGTATCCCTGCTTTAGAGGCGCCCTGAGAAGCCATTGTACCTACCGCATAGACTCGTTAATATTCTTGTTTTCCTTCACAGATGTTTCACTGCAGCC